TCAATATTGTAACCCCGATTTGGATAATATTTTACTCGATTATGTAATTTGATATTTTCAATTATCGTTCAGTGAATACAATTGTTGTTTAAAAGGGGATATGAGAATACAGTTCAATAACGATACAATGGCTATGTTTAGCTTTTGGCTTTTCAGTCAAAACGCTAACGGATTTGGCCAGCATTTCCACTCAACCGTCAATTAACAAACGAACCCAATATAGAAGTATTCAGATAGGCATGAAAACTAATAATCAATCAAACTATGGGACGCTTAAACTATTGGTGGTAAAAAAAAGGTGAAATTACAATTTTGCTTATAAACTCACAAGTGCACAAATGTATGATTTGAGATATCTCATATATGCAACACACGAGTGTAAATACTAGTCTAAAATCAATATTGTTAAGACTCCGTGTTTCATCGTAAAAGTTGCACTTCGAAATGTTTACAAGTAATTTAGCACTCATGATATCATATTAAAACCCGAGGTTTCATCCTAAAAGGTAAAATTAATTCAAAGTCTTATATAATGTTTTATTGTTTTATAGTTTTCCGGTATGAGACAAATATAACAAATACTCACGTATAATTTATGCAAATATGATCAATAAGTTCTTCGTACAACTAAACCAATATAAAAGGTCTCGATGGTCACACATATTAACTTTAAGGGCTTGTTTGATATGAGGTTTTGGAGGCCAGGTAAAGGGAGGGAAAGATTAATTTTTATTTTTACTAATTTATCTGAATTTGTTAGAATTAGATTACAAATAACTACAGAGTATATAATGAATTTGTTAGAATTAGACAAGGTATTTTTATACACTGTTTTATCTTAACTTGATTTTAGTTTTTCGGAATGTAAAATTTATTTTAAATTTATATATGATCACTTCACTTCCCTCTCCGACATCTCCCAATCAAACTGGCACTAAAGAAAAAAAGAGTGATTATTTATAAAACTACTACATGTTAAAATTTGTTTCAATACTTATTTTGAACTAAATAATTAAGTGAAACATAATTGTGCAAGTATAGAGTCATTGGTCATACACAAAATGATACACGTACGTATAGATAAAGTGAAACATGTGATCATCAATAGTATTCTAAAGTCTAAACAATTAGAAAACATACGGTTTTATTATAAACCAAGCAATTACGTACGAAGCAGTAAATATTACTCAGTAAATAACATCCACTTCTATTTTTGTAACTTTAAAGCAAGTAGCGTCATCTTCAATCAAGTAAGGAATTATTCGTAACATATAAATTACATTATCGTTATACTGTTCTTAAATTCTCCTATGCCGTGTTGTAATAAAGCCTAGATGCTTAATGTATTTAGCTTAATTAATACTCCGTATTCATATCTAATGGGATAGGAGTACAATGCTGGATTCTGTTATATTTTTTTCATGTTAAATGTTTAGTGTACCATTCTAAACTCAGATTGGGATATGAATAAGTTTTACAAATTATAATGGGAAAATCGCATATATGGTCCCTCAGTTATTCATGAAATTAAAATTTCAGACATGTATTTCTGAGATTGTAAATGTCACTCCTCAATTATTCAAAATGTTGTAAATGTGATCCTTTTGGGAGATGAAATATACAATGTGGGCGAGAGTACGTTTATTTCACTACTTAAAGGATCACATTTACTACATTTTGGACAATTGAGGGGTGACATTTACAATCTCAGAAATACATGTCTGAAATTTTAATTTCATGGATAACTGAGGGACCATATATGCAATTTTCCTAATTTTAATTAGTAAAAACAAAGTACTACATAATACTTCGTATATAGTTGATGGGACAAAGGGTTGTGTGACCGAAGAAGTCATTCATTCGAAAAAATATCTTTGAAGTCTCATTTTATAACTGAATTGGGGGGACATGTGTTTAATTTGAACTTAAGAAGTTCCAAAACTACGTTAAGATATGGTACTAATTGTCACATTACAGAAGACAGCAATTTAATACGATGAGTCGTTTGGCGATTGAGATGTGAAGATATACGGAGTATATTTATCTATATTTATATTGAAAAATGTTAAAGGTACCCTAATTTGTACCTCACCTTATTTTTGTGACTCACAAAAGCATCTCATTAAAGTGAGGCAATTCATTTATTGATGTAGACTTTTGTGAGCCACAAAAATAGGTTGGGGTACAAATTGGGATACCTATAGCAAGATTAATTTAAATTTGGTAGGTGACTTGATGCTCTTATATATGGGCGTTTAATCTACTTAAAGGTTTCGAACCGTGTTTTGCTCTCATCCGCTGCAAGTTCAATTATTGGTAATTGAATGGTGATTAGTGGCGCACATCACACTCTAAACCACTTCACTCAAAAACGGTTTGAGATCGTGTCATACTGTCATAATTTATTCATCCACCATTCTATTGGGTTAGGGTGTCAAAGTGTCTAGAATGGACGATTGCACCTTTTGTATTGAAGCATAAAGCATTGAGTTGGACATTGGGAAGTGAAAATATAACCTTACCAAGTTTACAGCTCCCTTCGTCCCTCATAACTTTGCCAAGTTTGAATGATACATGCAATAATGTATGGTTGAATTTTATGGAGAAGAGACTCTAACAACCTTTTGGAACTGCTTAAAAAAATGTGATAACATTTTTGCACAACTAAAAAAGAAAGATGATAATAATATGGAGTATATTATAAAGAATGGAGGAAGTGATGTTTTTGTGTAGTAATAACTAAAAAATGTATAGCCACTTGGAGCCATTCAATCACTTAAAAGGGGAAGATCTTTTCGCTAACCATGTTCTTTCATGACACGCGGGATCTTGCGTCAGTAGTTTGTCAAGCGGATTGATCTAAGTCGGCCGGTCTCCATGTCGCTTTCAGAAATATAATTTTGGTGACAACTCCGGTACCAATTTAAAATATGGGATTCGTACCTACTATTCACTTGATTTGTTCAAATGGTTATATCATTTTTAATTTAGATTTTATGATATCCTTAAGGTATCATAACTTTGTCCAGATGAACTGATCAGAATGGTGCAGTTGAATTATTTAAATTTAAATTAAAAATGATATAATGATTTGAACCAATCAGGTGAATGGTTGGTACAATATTTCATTTTTTAAATGAGTATCAGAGTTGTCATCTTTAAAAAATTCAACTGCATCATTCTGATTAGTCTATATAGACAACGTACGGCGTGAGGATACCACAGAATCTACCTATAATTTTCTAATTTCTCCATCTTCTTCTCTTCCACCGATTTTGAATCTCACGCCGCCATCTTTTTCTTCCAAATTCAGTCGCGTCCTAATCTTCCCCCAAAGTGCCCATGAGGTCAAGAAGTCTTTTGTACCGCTTATTTTTTATACGGAGTATATAACAAAGTTTCTTGATTAATAGGAAAAAGATGTTCTCATAAAAGTTTTTTTTGAAAGGAATGTTTTCATAATAGTTAAATACAACACTGAAAAAGTTGAATGAGAATCAAGAGAAAGATCATTCATTGAAGACCCAAGTTGAATTTGAAGAGTGTGATGATTAGTTAGGAAGAAGTTACCTCCTCCACTTTGCCCGTGCGGCCGTGAACCCTGTATAGTCCACGTCCAAATTGGATCAAGCCTCGTACAATTTTCCAGCATCCGTCAAAATTTAACCACAAATGTAGTAAAAAATAGCATAAAAACCAATCAAGCTATGCAATATATTTTTCTATCCCTTCGGTTAGTGGGTAGGTGCGTCGGCAAACCGCAAAACCACCTTTTAAGTTGATTTTTTAGTAAAAGAGAATAAGAAATGTGGTATTTTTATTCAAAAGAGATGTGGTATTTAGGATGTTTTCGGCCCCACATATAGATCAAATTAGACCACACTTCCATAGTTATAACATACACTGACACCAAACAAGACCAAAGCAAACCAACAAATTCAGTCCAAGTAAAAACATCCTTATAATTAAAAAAGGCTAAAGGTTCAAGTAGGCCTCTGTACCAGTCGTGCAAGCTCAATTCAGTCTCTGAACTAAAAATAATGTCCGATTCACACCTCGAACCGTCAAAAAATGGTTCAAAATTCATTTTTTAAGATTAAACAACCGTTAATAAAGGTCCAATGCACAACCCTAAGCTATTAAAAATTGTCAAAATTATAATAAATCGAAAATAAAAAATAGAAACAATAAAAAAAAATAAAAAAATGACCGGTTGTTTACCCATAAAAAAGGAAATTTGAACCATTTTTTGTCGATTCAGAGTATGAAATGAATCCTTTTTTAGTCCAGAGACGGAATTGAACTTACACGACCAGTACAAGGGTCGAGCCCTATTTGACCCTTTGGCCTTAAAAAAAATGTAGTCCATGTTTGAAGGGCCTCACAAACCGTAACTGTTTGGGTGATTAAAATGTTAACAAATAGGGTTGAATTCAAGTATTCAACAATAATTACAATCTATCATGTACAACAGCCTGAACTTTATCTTCAAACATAGTTTTGTGGAAGAACTCATCTGTCTCTTTTAAGTATACTAAATTCAAATAGACGCAAAGATGCATCAAGATAGAAGTTGATCTGATGTTATTAAATTAATAAATAGTCCTCTTCCCTTCCCGTTGAAAGATACTCATGATAAAACGATATGGTTTTTTAGAAAACAGAAAAATGATATGTTCATGGATTGATAAAAAAACAACTACGGAGTAGAAAGTAAGTGTATTGAATTTATTAAATGAAACTTGATCAGTTAAAGAATTGATATAATCAAAATGGATAATTAATGAATTTTATAATAAAAAATGATGTAACATTTCAATATAAGTATAGTCATAAAAGTTATTAAAGTCACATTTTTATCCACTTAGTTTTATTTTGACTATATATTGAGAATTATTTCTTATTTAATTCTTAAGTTGGTTCCTATCAAGTCCCACTTTTTGGGGTATTCTTTAAAAAAAAAATTAACATGAAGGTTTATCAGAAAAAGGCCAACCATTCTTTCCCCTTTCGCTTTCTTTTAACCCCTTGTTGCTTGGGGATTTGTACTTCTTTTCTTCATCCTCTTCTTCTACACACTCACAATCTCACCAAGGCCCAGCTGCCCAGCTAGCTTTCCACATAGAAAAGTGAAATATAATTCTTCTCCAGTTTAATTATCCTGTCAAATTGAGCCAGAGATAATCCTAGCTTGGTCAATAGATGAAAAGATGAAATCTTTAAGGACCATAGGGCTAGCTTTGAGTGTGATTTTTGGGTGTCTCTTGTTTGCTCTATTTGCTGAGTTATATTATCTCTTATGGTGGAAAAAGAGGATCACAAGAAGAGGAATTGAAGATGGTCCAGGCAAGGAACTCTTTTTCTTCTTCTTCTTCTGCAGAAAAAAGCCTTCTTCTTGTTCCTCTTCTTGTCTGAAACCCCAAGATCTTCAACCTGAACCTCAAGCTGAACCTCAGCAGGAAAGCCATGAAGATTCAGGCATAGATTCAGAGCTCTTGAGACTTTCTGGCCCACCAAGGTTTCTGTTCACAATAAGGGAAGAAACTAAAGAAGATTTGGAATCTGAAGGTGGGAAGTCAAGAAGAAGAAGAAGAAGCTTAAGTGATGTTTTTCTTCACCAAGAAGAATCAACTCCTCCATTTTTTACCCCTACCAACACCTCACCATCATACTTCACCCCACCCCTCAGTCCTTTAAACCCATTCTTAGAATCCACAACTGATTTTGAGTTCAACAGCTTTGCTGGCAGGCCTTCTCCCCCTCCAACCTTCAAGTTCATGAGAGATGCTGAGGAGAAGCTTTACAGGAGGAGAATATTGGAGGAGATGGAAGAAGCTCAAAGATTGGTCAAGAAAAAAGATGCCTTTATTCAAGTTGATGATTGTGGTGGTGACACAGAAATTTCTTCCACTTCATCGCCTTCCTTTTCTGGTAGAGATGATGAAGCAAATGGTTCATTTGTTAGGCTAATAATTTGTCCTTTGAACAGAGAGGAAGAGCATGAGAATTTGAGGAATGTTTCACAAGTTGTTCCTCTAGCTTCTTCCCCTCCACCCTCACTTTCTCCATCAAATTTCACATCCATTCATACTAGAAGCTCCACTAGATGAGTTGTTTCTAAGGTTTTCTCTTCTTATTTTTAAGTCCATTGGTCAAACAGTTTTAACAATTATGGATCCCATGGTCCACTTATTTTGCTTATAGCATTATAATAATCAAAATAAGTTGAATTAGGACTTCTTCATGTCGTTTATTAATATTGCTCAATTGTAAAATACTAGATTTTCACCCGCGCGATGCGCGGGATATAAGAATGTAATAGTCATACGATATTATTTGTAAACAATGTACGCATGTGAAATGTTTGGAAATTGTGTTACTCGTAACATGCATTAGAACTTTTAATTAAAGATCGAAAACTCAGAGATAGATAGTAAGAATGTGTTGGAATAAGTAGACAAAGGGAAATGTTAGATAGGGTTTCACAGTTTATACATTGCGAAACACTTCTTTATAAACAACATTTGTGGTATGGTATGTTGGTTGGCCATCTTCATCGCATATTAATATCTTCAAACCCTTAGGATTTGTTACCCTTGACACTGCAACATAGAGTTGACCATGTGTAAACACCGACTTTTTCAATAAGAGTCCAACATGAGTCAAAGATTGTCCCTGGCTCTTATTTATAGTCATCGCATAAGAGGTCATGACGGGAAATTGTCTTCGCTGAAACTTGAACGGTATTCTTGAATCCGAAGGAGTTAAGCTCAACCTCGGAATGACAACCTCATGTCCCGCATATTTCCCGCCCATGATTTTTGCCCCTATGATGTGATTTCCAAGTCGTGTAACGATTAACCTTGTTCCATTGCAAAGCCCCATCGAAGGATCAATATTCCTTAAAAGCATTATTGGAGTCCCAACCTTGAGGGTTAACTCATGGTTTGGAACTCCAGACGCTTTTATTTTGTTCAGAAATTCTGGAGTATGTAAATCAGCCAGAAAATCAGCATTGGAGTCTGACTTGCAAATGCTATCTGAACTCAGATAGGTTCTTGACTCTTCATTAACATTCAGAGAAATCATGTATTCATTGATTGCATCTACAACATCAAGGGTTGGAGCCAGGATTGCGCGGTGTTGCAAGTAAGTCGGGTCATTGACAATATTCTCAAAGTTTGGGTAGGTGCTCTGGACAATAGTGGCAATGGGGTCGCTTCCACACTCTAACAAAAACTCTTTTGGAATTTGAACATCGGCAAAGCCATCATTATCTTCCCCCGCATTCCCGTCCCCTAAACTCGCAATCCACTTTGCAAAGTCAAGCAAATCTTCATATTCACGATCATCAGTCAATGATTGCAACCTCATGTTCTTCGTCAAACGTAATACCAAGCACTGTTGCCAAATATAGGAAGAATTAATCGTGGCATTCACAATGTCTTGTCTAGTACCTTTTGTAACGACAGGTAAAATTTGTCTGAAATCTCCCCCGAATACCACAGTTTTCCCTCCAAATGGTTTTTCATCACTGTTTGAATTAGTGAATCTCAAGATGTCCCGCAAACTTCTATCTAAGGCCTCGAAGCAATACTTGTGCATCATCGGCGCCTCATCCCATATGATCAGTTTGCAGCGAATGATCAATTGAGCAAGTGCACTACCCTGTTTGATGTTGCACGTGGAGTTTTCATTAGGGTTGATTGGTATTGCAAAGCGTGAATGAGCCGTCCTACCGCCTGGTAACAATAAAGCTGCTATGCCACTTGAAGCAACATTCAAAACAATATCTCCTTTGGACCTCAAAGCAGCTGACAACGTCTTCCACACAAACGTTTTCCCTGTACCTCCATAACCATATACAAAGAACACCCCACCACTATTTTCTTCAATAGATTGCATAATGGTTGTGTACACGTGACGTTGTTCATCATTGAGACTCTGTATGCATCTGTCATGCTCTTCACGGAGGGCAGCACGATCGTATTGCAACTCGTCAAAAATCAGTCTGTTTTGATACATGGCAGTATCACTTATCGTGGGAAATGGCATTGATGGATAGTCCTTTAAAGTCCTGCCAATCCTTCTCAACATCATTTCTATTTCAGTCAATGCATAATTCTTAACCTCATCCTCGGTCAACTTCAAATCTGATATTACACGTATGAAAAGACCATTATCAAATAACATGTGTAATATATAATGTATGGTTTTGAATATACATGCACACACACACACACATTCTTGTGTATAGGTATATGTATGTGTGAAATTAAAATTGTTTATTACCCGGATGCATTAACGCTCTTCTTTGCCTGTGTAGAATGTCATCTGACATAAATGTACAACACTTGTCCCACACATATTCTGGTCTACTCATTGTATCTGCTGCCAGTAAGATCACAAACAACTTTCTAAGTAACCATGCAGTAGCCCAATAACTACCTTCTGAAAACCCTTCAACGTACTCCTTGTCATCGTCCAACAACCCTAAAGCGAAACATGCCTCACGGTATGTATTATGAATAATTCCATCCACAGTTCTCAGATCATCATAGCTTGTAGCCCCACGCCTCAAATTAAGCACACATCGCAAATAATAAGACTCTCCTGAACCCGGTGGCACATACGTTAGACGGCCTATTGCAAACCCTTTTTGTCGGGGTACAAATTCTCTTGTTTTTGCTTTCCAGACAAACTTTTGTGGGAATTCCGCATAAGTTAGATCCCTTGCCTCGGGGTACTTAGCATTTGCTCTCATCCATGCAAGAAACATACTCTCCTTAACAGATTCACGCAGCACGACGTCATTAACTGATGCACCATCTTCAAAATACACATATTGTTCATTGTGGAAGTGAAAGCTCAATCGTTCAACAGGTGGATTCTTATACTGAATTTGAAATCCATAAATTCTCCACATTGCCTCACATGGAGAAATGTACCGACAATCATAGTACAGTTTTATTTCATCAACAGGTTTTTCAGTGTGATCCTTACCAGTTGTTTCATAAAATCCAGCTGTGACACGATCGTGCCCCTTGTTGACGTATTTGAATAAATACTTTATTGACCTGGATTGGTTGCACCACTCAACATTTAGATGAGCACCGTACCTCATTAATAACGACCGGTTGTGAGGGACAACATATCTATTGTCTAGTGGAACGCCACCTTTAACAATTGTTTTTCCATCATTTCGCCTCCTATATTTAGGATAACCCTCTTCATCAACATTAGTTTCCTCGTTGAAATTCTTTGGGAAGTGCTTCGAACACTTAGACTGAACCATGCAAGGGGCTTTCCTTGCATCAGTGCCACACGGTCCGTGCATCATATGTGTGCACACTGCTTTGAAATAGTCAGGATCACCCTTCTCGTCAGGAATTTCAGCTGATATAATGCGGTCAATGTCTGCTGGCGTGGGATATTTGTCTGCGTTCCCCATGAATAATAAAATATGAGCATGAGGTAAGCCACGCTTCTGGAATTCAACCGTGTAAATCACTGCAATAAGTGAATGTAACAATTTTGTCACACACACATACACATCCATGTAAATGTGTAATCTATATAAATGTATAAACATGATATTTTACATACCTGCTCGAATTTCTCCAAATATCTTACCTTGTCTTAGATACTTGATTAGGCCGTCCAACTTCATCTTAAACACTCGACAAACTATATCTGGACGATCTTCAGGATTCAAATTCCTTGAAGAAAGGAATGTATTAATCTCTGGCCATCTCGGGTTACATGTGAATGTCAAAAATAAATCTGGATACCCTGCCCATCGACATATAGCCATGGCATCCTGATAATTTTGAACCATGTATCGAGCACCCCCAACAAATGTAGGTGGAAGGACAACACGCTTGCCCTGTGTTGACGCATCTCTCTCACCGCTCAGCAAAGCATCTGATAGCCCTTTGTACATTTCACACCTCAGTTCTTTTTGATGGGTTCTAATATACATTAGCCTTGATGACTCAACCATTGTGTATCCATCTACTGTGAACTGTTGAAACAGTCTCCTACTCCTAAGGATAAAAGAGTCCTCCTTTGCTCGTTCATGCAATCTGTAAGAAAGGAACTCTCTAATGCTAACACTTCGTCGACCGCCAGTGCTTGACACTTTATCCTCAGAAAAGGCTATATCCTCCCTGTACCCATCCTCACCATACGGAAACAAAAGTGGATATTGCAATCCCAGATAAGCTGGATTTAGCTCATTTATTCTTTTCAAGTACCCTCCTTGAGTTTCAACCATTATATCCCTTTGCCCTAGTGCTTCATCAAAATCACCTACTACCAATGCCGCAACCTCTGAGACTGTAGGTAAATTATAAGTTCTGGCATCTTTGGTTCTCCTCCCTATTAACTTCAGGGATAATTTTCTTTCCTCGCCCTCTGCTAGTTTATCTCTTACCATTCTGAAGGACTTAACTAAAACATTATGTTGGTCTAGCATTTTTCTTAATGTAGTCACAATATGTGCATGCAAATTGTTTTCCTTTTTAGCATCCCTGGATTGATATAACCAAATTCAATAAAAACAGCATAACAACAAATCTAAACATGTGTGCATTACTACATGTGTATAATAGTTCTGAGCTTAAATATTACCTCACTGAGCTCAAACGATTAGCATCCTCGTGATGTGTGTCATATATATATAGTTGTGCAAATTTCGGCACACGTCCTTCTTGCGGTAGCAGACTCCCAATGAGGTGATAGTTCTGGCCTCCTAGTTTAAAGATTGGGGGCGATCCACCAACGTTTTGCGTTCTGTCGACCCTTCCTCCCATGGAAGTGAACGAAAACATGCTGTTGTATGAGCGAATGTTCTCCTGAAAGTGTTTAGAAACTGCATCTGTGCCATCAATGAACTGCTGCAGTTCCGCGGGCGGCTCCTTCAAACGTGGCAGTTTAATTTTTCCCTGACTGCAACACAAAGAATACTTTGGGTTTTCTTTTGTAGAACCTTGGATAACTCTTTCTTCATACCAAAACAATGCTCCACAAGCTGCACAACTGTGTGACGCATCACCAATACTCCAATATTCGGCGTTAGGTAGGTCTGTGACAAATTAAGAAAACAGAAACCTTCATATCATAACAAATAACTTAAAATGTGCCTTTGTGTGAAATTATTGTAGGTTTCACTCGGTGTACTCAAATATTAGCACACCTTCGAGATCGTGTATTTGATGACCCAATATATCATCTTCTTCTCTTGATAGATCATTACATGGTTCTTGATGGTCACAGTGAACTCCCCAAGATTCTTCCATATCAATTCCGATTGAGGACTCCCCCCTTGGGAAGCCATTAAATGGCAAATGAGGAACTACAATTCACGGTTTAGGAAGATAAGATAA